CAACCTCACTGTGGCGGCTTGGCCGAGCCAGAGCCTGGAGCTGGATTCTCGGCGAGCCGAGCCACCCAGCACCTTTCGGTCTTCTATTTTTTTTCCCCGTTCCCCCACCCCCTCCCTCCTGCGCACCCCCGCTCCTAAGCCGAGTGAATTGAAGCGGACGCCGCGCGGCTCCTCTGGCCGGTCTGCCCCTCGGGCTCCCCAGCCGGGGTGGCTTTGGGGAGGGGGGGCGACGCAGCTTTAAACAGTGGTCTTTTTTTCCTTTGCCTTCAAGGAGGGGAGATTTCTCGCCTGCCGCTCGCGCTGGGGCTCGATGTGAATATATATTATGTCTGCCTGTTCTCCCCTCGTCGGTGGCTAAGGTAAGCTGGACTGAAATAGGCTATCAGTTTGTGAATGGCGGAGAGTATGTCTCAATGATTTATGGCCCATATGACTCCAATCTCGGTTCAAGAAGAGTTCACAAGCTTTAAGCTTCCTTCCACGCAGCGACTGACTCTCTCTCTCTCTCTCTCTCTCTCTCTCTCTCTCTCTCTCTCTCTCTCTCTCCCCCTCCCTCCCTCTCTCCCTCTCTCCCTCTCCCTTTCTCTTCCCACTTCTCTCCTTTCCGCCTCTCTTCTGTTCTAGCAGTCAGATCTAGGGCTGAATTTCTCCCCCTGTTGCTAAGAAGAGTCGAATCTTTTTCTTTTCCCTTTCTTATTCTTTTATTTTTCTTCCTCTGTTAATTTCTTTTTAAGTCCTGGAAGGTGGCTTATCCTCTCTCCCGAGGTTTCTTCAGCTATTGTGACCCTTCTTTGCCCTCCCAGGGGTGTGCCTGACAAGGTGGGGTTCTGGGGGGGTTCACCTCCCTTCTTCAGCAAGACCCTCGGGGAAGCCAGGACCCACCGTCTCCCTCCCACCCTTCCTAGGAGCCATATGGAGCCTGAATTTTTCCAACATGGAGGCAAGGGAAATAGACATGTTTAGCTGGAGATAGCTGGTCCCCACCCCCTCTTCTGGATCCCAGATCCAGCACCTTCCCTTCTCTTAGGGTCCGGGCAGCCAGGCCTCAGCACCCTCCAGCCTGGAGCCCAGTTGGGAAAGTCCCGGAGCAGAGTTGCTGAGGCGCCTTTTAATTCGGTTACCTCCAGCGCCTAACTTGCGGCCGCGGGGCTGGTCCCCGGGCTGGGCTCGGTGTGCCGGGAACCTGCCGCAGCTAAGCATTTCGGCGCGCCCCAATCGCTTTCTCTTCGCCTCCTTGAGCCCAAGCAGGCGGCCGGTAGCTCCTCTCCAGCCACCGCGCATCAGCGGTCGAGACAGCCGGGCAGGCAGCGGCAGCCGGAGGCTTTGCGGGTCCAGAAACCTTCCTAGCCCTGCCTCAGTCAGCGGAGTCTCCATTCTTCCCGATCACATCTCTGGCTCCTTCGCTTCCCACACTCGCCTGGCCTCTGTCCTACGAGGGGATGGGGGCATATTGCTGGGGGAGCCACAGAAATTTGGGTCTCAGGCGCCTAGTCAAATTACTGGTTTTTTAAAATTATTATTACCACCATCATCATTATTGCTGTAACAATCATTTAGACTAAATAAAGCCAGGGCCCAGCCAGCTAACCCCCTCCAACGTTTTTATTTCATTCTCTTCTCTATCTATTAATAACAAACTCAACTGATGTCTGTTAATTAATTCTTCCTTCAGCCAGGGCTGCTCAGAAGCTAATTCTGGTTAAATCATCAGAGGCTAATGGTAATAATAATAAAAGGATTGGGTCAGCCTGGTCAATTGAACTCCAGTTCTCCCTGGAAGGACCTGCTGCTTTGCAGACCCATGTGTATTTCCAGAAACAAATTCTTCTTAGAAACCAATCGAACTCAGGGCCACACCAGCTCCCTTTCGAGTATAAATCTGTGCTCTTAAGAGCACAATTTATGTGTGGGAGGGACTTCTTTCACCTGCACTCCTTTTATTTTACTAATTTTAGTTTTCTTCTGGGTTGACCAGCTGGACTGAATGATGTTTTAAGTTTTCCCAAATGCACATGATAGAAGGGAGGATCAATCTGGAGATTTTAGAAAAGTGTTAATGGTAGGCTGGGGAAGACAGAGAGGGGGAAATGCAGTTAGAAGTTTCAGAACACATACAACATCATACCACATCTTTAAGCTTTATTTTTCTGGTACACTTAAAATGCTATATTAAAACAGTAGTTGTATTTTTATTTTTGCATTGAGGAACCTCAGTAAACAGAGGCACCCTAGTTTCCAACCTAGAGAAGAATATTATTCAAATTGCTTTCTGTATTTTTTCCCACCTGAATAATTTTCTCTTTTAAGAGCACATTTCCCCCCATCTCAGTAGGAAAATCAGCAGTTGCACAGTTTTCTGTCTTCCCTTTTTTTTTTCTTTTTATTTTAAGAAATCAAAGAAAGCAGACTGTCAAGGAAAAGATGAGGGAAACTTTCTGATTAAGGAAAAAAAAAGACGAGTTGGGGGAAAGGTCACAGCAAATGGTCACAGCACCAACCAGTCTTGCCTGGGAAATCTAAACAATTCTGGTCCATTTGGAGGCTCCACGGGGGCCCCTTGCTGTTGGGTCTCAGGCCTGGCTAAGCAAAGACATGGACTGGAGGTGATAAGACCTGCAGTGGGGCCATGGATGGATGAAGCTTGGTTCCACTGGCTTTAGGGGCTAAAAGTCTTCAGGAATTTTCTAGGGTAGGCTGTCATGGTCTTCGTAGACGGGAAGAGAAGAGAACACCTCACCAGAGGTTTCCTGATGAACTTGCTTTTCTCTCCAACCTTCGTCCAAGATCCGGAAGGTTTCTTCCAAGCTAGACTTTGCTTAGGTGAAAAGGATAGGGAGGGAAGCAAGGTGGGAGGCAGAGCGGCCTCTGAGCGGAAGACCTTCAGGACGCTGCTTTTACTTTGAACTCCTAGCACTCACCCTATCCCAGAGTTGGGGGGTGGGAGGTAAGGAGGGATTGTAAGAGAGGTCAGGGGCTGTGCACAGACAGGAGAGAAGCAATGGTCCATGCAGCAGACTATTTGTAGGCACTCCCCAAAGGAGGGCAATCTGGATTTTTTTTTAAGTGAAAATGAAAATCGGTTTTTTTTTCTTTAAAAGTAAAATTGAAATGAGAAAAATCCAGTTCAGGTCAGATACTCGGCCTCAACGTCTACTGTGGAGATACAGGCGAGGCGAGAAGAACTAAAACCCTATTGATGTCAGTTCCCTTTTTAGTTCCTAAGATGGATTCGAGCCCTAGTCCTCTTCTCCCCCTGTGTCTCTTCTCTCGCCCCGCAGGTCAGCCGCTTGGAACAGACCCGGGAGGAGGGGGGCAGAAAGGGGAGGGGGGGGTCCGGCGTGTCACGTGACCCCCAGGGGTGCCAATGTCCGGTCGTGAGGGTATCAGGCCCTTGCAAGTTGCCACCCACTACCCGGGCCTCGCCCAGCGATGCAGAAAGCCACCTACTACGACAACACCGCAGCTGCACTCTTCGGAGGCTACTCCTCGTACCCCGGCAGCAATGGCTTCGGCTACGACGGGCCTCCCCAGCCCCCCTTTCAGGCCGCCACGCACCTGGAGGGCGACTACCAGCGCTCAGCCTGTTCGTTGCAGTCCCTGGGCAATGTCTCCCCACATGCCAAGAGCAAGGAGCTCAACGGCAGCTGCATGAGGCCCGGCCTGGCCTCCGAGCCCCTGCCTGCTCCGCCGGGCTCACCCCCACCCAGCGCAGCACCTACCGGTACCACTAGCAACAGCAATAATGGGAGCGGGCCCAGCAAAAGCGCCCCCCCCAAGTGCGGTCCCGGCTCCAACTCCACCCTCACCAAACAGATATTCCCCTGGATGAAAGAGTCGAGGCAAACGTCCAAGCTGAAAAACAGCTCCCCCGGCACAGGTACCAGCTCTCTGCCTTCCTAGTCGGCTTTTGTACAGTCCAGGAATGTCCCTGTTATTCTAGCACCCAGTCCCCTAGGCGCCCATAGGCGGCCTGGCAACAGTGGCTGCCTGGCGTTTTCTGTACCTCACCACCTGATGACCTCTGACCCCGCCTACACCCAGTAGTCCCTCCAGCCATCCTCCCACCTGAGCTACTGAGAGCTTCAGGAGGTGGTGCGGTTGGTCCGATCCCCTCCCCAAGGCCGCAAAGCCGAAAAGGCACCGCCAGAAGGACGCAGAGTCGTCAACGATTGATTATTATTAAGTATGATTACTCTGGGTATTAATCACAATCGCTAGGGCGGTCTGAGGTCTCGGCCTCCAGGCACCGCAGTCTCTACGGGCCACACTTCCGGGTCCTGCCCACCAGTGTCCAGTTTCCCCCAGGTGTTCTCAGTCACCCATCCCGTTAGGAGGACAGGAGGGGATTTTCCCAGACCTGGATTTTGGAATGGGGGTGGAGGGGAGCGCGCATATGCAAAAAATCCAGCCCTAAATAAATGGCCACACAGCTATATCTGTGTGACATGATCAAATTTTCATAAGCTGGGGCAGTGAGAGGAGAACAGGTCTCTTAATAAATGCCACTATTATAGTGTCCGCTAATGCGACGGGCGGTGGGGAGGGTGGTGAGGAGGAGGCGGGGACGCAAAGGGGAGGGCGGCGGGGGCTCTGGAGTCCAGGCCTGGATTTATTAAGAAACGATGCATTCAATTTTGGCGTGTTCAGTAATTATCTTTTATTTCATTTTCTCCCCTTCTCACCCCTCCCCCTCGGATCCAGCGGAAGGTTGCGGCGGAGG